CTACACAGCGAGCAGCTAGTAACCTCATGGACAATATAAAAAAAAAAAAAAAAAAAAAAAATTCCTCTGTCAGGACAGTCTGCTGTTACGTGCACCTCCAACCGTGATGGTGGTGGGGAGGCAGGCGGGGAGGCCGCTGGAGCCCTCCCTCCTGCCCGTAGCCCCCTCCTCATACAGGAAGTCCAACCAGTGATACAACAACCGCCCACCCGACCCATCACCCCCAAAGCCATGAGTCCAACTTGCACTCGGCTCTTCAGTGATAACCTCCCATTTCCCCCCCAATCATGATTATCATCGTCATCATCCTAATAGTATCAACAAAAATAAAAATCCAAAATCATTTCCACTTCTCACGCGGCAGGAGCCTATCAGTGTCCAGAGGTCCTTCGGGTTCAGTCAGTCTCAACCAATGGCTGTCCATCTGGGTCGATTAGAAAACCACGTAGCTGTACATGTAGAACCAAAGTCCTCATGCAGTGCCCTGCGAAGGTGGCACATCACATACGTGCACAGGTGGAAGTGGGGAGTGGGTGTTTATGATTTTGAGTGTCTGTGTGTGTTAGAGAGAGTGTGTGTGTGTGTGTCTTTTAAGAGGGAAGAAGCAAGGGTGTTAGGCAATTATCAGACCCAGGAGCACAAAAAAAAAAAAAAAAAAAAAAAACGTCCAGGAGAAGAAGAATTACATACAAAGTCTTTATCCACCATCTGTCTCCTCTTGGCCCTCCTTGAAACACTCTCACACACAAACTCTCTCTCTCGCACGCACAAACACACGCACACGATAGGTCCTCATGTCATTGTGAAGTCAAATGTTCAATGTCAACATTCAAGAAAAGAAAAAAAACAAAAACAAAACAAAAAAAAAACACCTCAATGGTAAAAATCATCTCTACCATCACAATGCTTCAGTTCATAAAATCTTGACATTTCTGAAAAGTGATTCTGTTTTTTTTTTTCCTCCAGGTTTAAAGCAGTATGCGTGTGTGTGTGTAGTTGTCGTCGTTGTCGTCTTTGTCCCACTGCTGTACACACACACACACACGCGTGCGCGCGCACACACACACGCACGCACGGGCACGCACACACACATGCACAACCAACATACGCACACTCACGCACTCCAGCACACACCACATGTCCTCTTTTAGTGGAGAAAGACATGGCGCAATGGAGAGACACTCCTCCTCTGGGTGGATGCACAGATCACCAGGAGGAGACGGGGGAGGGGGAGGGGGGTCGTTGCCACGGCTACCAGGGGTCATCGAGCTCGCCGGCACTCTGGATGAAGTTAAGAGGAAAAAGAGACGGGAGAAGAAAAGCGCGTTAGGTTCGTCGTTTCTGCAGATGCTGCTCCTCATGCCTCAATGTAAAAAGTTTGAACCTCACTCCTCTTTTTTTTTATTTTTTTCTCTTCATCTACTCAAACTGAATGGATAATGGAAGAAAGTGATATTCCCCTGCCCAGCCTGTGAGTTAACACAACCAGAACCTCTGATGACTCACCTTGCGGAGAATCACGAGGCCAACTGTCAGACTGAAAAACAGGGGAGGAATGGAGAGAATGGAGTCCCTATAAGTCTAGGCAGCTCTCCCCCCTCTCGCTCCTCGCCGCCGGCTCGCGCCATGCAGCGGCCGGGCGTATATTTTGAGGTTTTCGTACCCGAGAGCTGCTATTGTTTTAAAGGAGACGACAGATTAAGATGTCTTCAAGCAGCTGAGGTAAAAACAAAAATAATAATAAAATAAAATGACGGGTCTAGGCTGGAGCTAAAAGCTGACAGAGGTGAGCGAGGAAGGTGAGGATTTGTTTTCTGCTTTAGCTGAAACTCCACAGCCTACACAGACACATATATATGCACACACATCGAACGGAGTAAGGACACTGAAAAATCCCACTAGAAGTGTCAGGGAACGGCCCTGTATCAAATGTCACCATGTTGCATGCTCGTTTCTGAATAAAATCAGCTTTTAAATGGGAAAACCTTTTTTGCATCCCCCTATAGCAACCTCCCCATGTACATACTTGCAAGGTGACTGATTTGGTACAGGACCACAAGACAAGAAACAAAGCTCTAGAGTCAGTTTACAGCAAAAGACACGAATACACTCGACACACATCGTAGCATGATACCTCAAATCAGTTTTTATTTGTTCATTTGTCACTTGCGGGACTGATCTGTCCCACGTAAGCGCATACAAATATAACTCACGCACGCACAAACGCTCAGACACACACACTCAGTGTTTAGCGTTGCCTCCCCTCCGATAGTTAAGTGCTTTAGATATTGAAGAGATAAGTGCAGTGCATGCATTACCAGAGTCGCTGGGTACGGGGCTTATACACAGTCACGGTAACCTCCCTTCTACCTGCTTTCAAAGAAGAATAAACACTGTACGCTGAGCGGTCGCACTCAGTCAAACTTTCATAATGAGGTAAGTGTTTGAAATTGTGCCGTTTTGAACGTGACCTGCGAGGACCGACGTGTGCGGCTGTGATCGTTTCTATCAAGCTGTGAAACTCATAAAGCTACAGTTAATACCAGCAGCTGTCAGAGGGAGAAGTTGGAGCCTGAAAACCAGATTCATTGTTATTCCAGCTACACTCTGAAGCGACTACAGCTACACAACCATCTCACATGAAACACACCAACTGTTGTCTACGTGTGATTTACTCCTGAAGCGCTAAACCTGGCGTTTAAGGCCTGGACTGGACATTATGTTCCACATAAATGCTGCCTTTTTAAACATTTTGGTCAAGAGTGACACTTTTTTTTTTGCAAATACTCAATGGAGTGACATGTGAAAGAAACACTTGTGGTCACAATCTCACATGGAGCTCCACTTTCAGATCAATAAGGGAACTGATGGAACAGACGAAGGCGTCTCCACCAGCCACATGAGAGCATTAAAGCATGGCAGCATGTTAACGCAATAAATGTGTTGATTAACCGTTATCATGCTGACGTGCAAAATACTAACTGTTGCATGCTAAATGCTAGCATGTTAGCATTCAATAGAGTGTTTTTTAGGAATGTCAGCTTTAAGAATGTTTGACAGAAAGTGTTGAGATGTTTTAACGTGTCCACAGTGCCTCTATTTATTAAATCACAAACTTGTCAGGTTCAGCGTCACACTTTCATCTGTGTGTGAACATAAATACAAACGCAGCATGCAAATGGTTTCCCTTTCTGACTCAAAGAAAATAATTTCTCTTGTTGGAAAAAGGGCTAAATTGAGCCACAGAAAGTTTATAAGCTGCTCAGCTGTTGACAAATTCTTGACCATTGGTTTAAATGATTTAAAGGACAGTGACCACAGACACTCTTTTGACCAGTTCTTTAAAAAGCCACCTTTAAAATGCAGCTTTATTCAAACGACAGGACGCCACAACTGACGAGAGAAAGACGAGAAAGAAGCTATTGGCTGGATGCTGCAGTGTGAGTGTCCACGACTCCAGCTCTGAACTGTCCAACGTGATCCTGTCCCCTGAAACTACCTTTACTAAAACAGTGCATGCTGCGTTTGCATTTTTGTTCACTATACTTTTCCTGAACAGCTGATCGTAGCTGTGCTTTGAGATGAATGACGGCAGGTTATCAGGTCAGATCAAAATGTTGTCGAGCTAACTTGCCTTTCACAGCACTGCAAGTCTACCCAAACGTAGGCCACGTCACACGATTTATTGCTAGCCGGACAAGCTATCCTATATCTAAGAAAAACAACCACTGTACTAACAATCAAACATCTTTGGGAACAATATGATCTCTGTTCACAATCTTCTCCACTAATTTTGCTCCACTTTTCCATCCATCTATCCAATAACGTTGTTTTCTGGTGTGCAATAAGCATTGCGGCCTTAAAGGGTTGCTAGCATGGCTATAGACTGAATTGACACATTTACATCCACTTGAGCATCCATTAACACGTTGTAACCCCTACAGGGTGCCCGTGAGGCAGCGTTCTAACATGTGGTGATGCGGGAGATGTAGATTTTTTTAGTACCCAGGCTGGTTTGAACAACCTAACATCACTGCTGACAAATGGATCGATTCACCAACTATCAGAAACGTGAATTTCAGTAGTGATGAATGGTCTCCTGCTCCGTCACTCAAACCCATGCAGACACACAAGCACACACACACACACACACGTACGTACATACATATACACAAAAAGAGAGTGTGTTCTGAGTCTGTAGATGGAGTTGGCCTGGAGACGGTGCAGCGTGTCGCGCAGCTGCAGCTCGGTGTCTCCTCTCCTGTTCTTTGTCAGTTCGCCCGCTATAAGCAGGTGT